CACATAGACTTATCGTAATACTGGAAAATTTCATTCTTATTGTGGTCTATATGACTTTTTTATAATTTCTCACCGCCATGTTAGAGTTAGAGAGTTTCCCTGCACGATGCATACATTTTCAAACCCATAGCACTTCTGAAAATGCTCAAAAGTGTTTTTTAGAAAGTAGCATTTTTATAAAGTTTGTAAATATGGTGTAGCAAACACTCTATATCACGTGAATTAATTGACAATTTTAAAGTTTGCCACCGCCATACTAAAGCTCGAGAATTTCTCTATACAATGCATATCATTTTGGAAGTGCCCTAAAACACCTTGTATTTCGCAAATTAATTGACTTTTGCTCTCGACATTGTAGAGTTATGCGCGTACCAACAGATTTTGCGATTCATTTCTTTATATATTATAGATTATTAACGTGCTTCTCCTAGGTATAAATGACATTAAATGACAATCCACTACTGTCTTATAGAGAGTTAGGTCAATTCAGTGAAACCACAAGAAATAAAAGAAGAAGCTGAATAAACTTAATATACATTCGGGATTTTAATCAACTTTAAATAGGACGTACAAGTATTCACTTCTATTTCTATTTATTGTGTGGGCAAAATTAAATTAAATCCAGCACTAGTGTGCTCTAGAGCACTTGCATTGTCGACAAATTTAATCTGATCATTGTCTACTATTTCGGCACGATGTTAAAAAATCTTTATTAGTTGAAGTACAATAAACATTTTAGCGCGACGGGAATTTATTCAGCTACCCATCTCTAGTAAATTTATTCCGGCGCGCAGGACAGTGATGAAAATCTTTTAATTTTATTTCGTTCTTTTTCATTTTTCGTCGCCGTCGTACTTTTTGTTGGATGTTTTTAGTGCCGCAGGATTTGATATGTAAATGTGACGGATAAAAAATATAAGCGTGCAGACAACATGCGGGCGAAGGACCGCGCATTGAGGATAAAGAGTAAGCGTACGCGTATAGGTGGCAGTTTTTCTGTTTTTGTCTTGTATTTCCGTTTTTTCCGTTTTTCTTCCCGTTTTTGCGTGTTGTACTAACGCACGCAGTTCGTCTTCTATAACATGATGTGCTTCATGAATCAGAAATGAAATATGCGGCGTATATTTGTCGATATATAATAAATTTAACTAGAGACAGTTGTAAGTATATTAAATCAGCGTGCTTACAATAATAATTTTTCATTTTATAGGATAGAAAATTAAAATGGAAAAAATATTAAACCTGTTCTTAACTTCATTAGAACTGCTTCAAACAATACCTGTCACCCTAAGTTTTATCAATCATTGCATTCTGCTTTCATTCTGCCCATTAAATACCATCAGAGTGCTGACTTTCATTATTGTGCACAATAGAGAACATAAAACATAAAAAATCCTTGAAAAAGTACTTGTGCATAAATAACTGCAAACATTTCAGAGTACTTAGCATGTAAAAGTTTTTTTGTTCCATGTAGAAGCCAAAATAATATAATGAACTTTGTCCAATATTAATTTTCGTTTCGATTCTGATTTTTAAGAGTAGCTTTGAAAGATCAGATAACGGACAAAGCCTTCAAAGGAAATTGATTAAAATGATCGACTTACATAAAGAAAAGCGAGGATCTCACTCTTGATATTGCTAATTAAAATCGTTTGAAATATCATGAGTGTAAAAAATTATTTTCCGTTATTAGTAAATTGAATAATTTAGCAATTACAACGTTTCTGATATTTTATAATTAAACATCTATTGTATTTCATTGCTCATTTGACATTTATTTTACAATATATGTTTTCATTTGTATGGGAGGATGAGTATCTGCTTGAAGCATATAAATTGGTCACGACCTGACGACCTTCAGGCTGTGAAAACAGACCCCATGAATGTGTATTTTTTGCACGTTCCGGATTGAATTTACGCGTGTCACCTGAATTAGTGTTTCGATTTGCAGTTAGCGCACTTCGGGTCTCCGATTTTATTACTGGAATAATCCAGGAACATCCGAGAGCAAGGCGTAGTACATGCTCACTACGCCTTCGACACTTCAACGCCTCCCTTCTTAGTGTAGGCGACGCTCTCTGCAGTTTACTCACTATGTTCGCACGACAGAAATTTCGGCCGAACAAACCGGGAACCGCAAAGCGTCTGCTAAGTTTAACATAGTGCAAACTGTTATCAGGTCTACAGCATTGATGTTCTGGGTCCTATATAACATTTAGCACAGCTTTTCTTGGCGCTTTTTCTTACAATGGACGTTTTTTACTGTGTGTCACAGGTCTCAGGACACCCTATACCAATTGAAAATCACTGGTTGTACGCACTTAATAACAAAACATTTGATAAAACTTTCACGTCCCGCTTCGCGTTTAAATGTGGCCCGCAGTTGTGCGTGCAGAAGACCCAGGACCTCTGCGCCATACAAAAAAGCCAAGAAAGAAAGAAACGCGACAAAAAAATACTAAACGCTCGGCCTCGCCTAGTAAATAATACCGCCCTGCACTTTGCGAACGAAAGTGGGAAGTGTGCACATCCGCGATGAACGATGAGAAAGAAACAAGAAGCAGAAGAAACCCTATTCCTGAAAAAGCACATTCAAGTAGAAACGCTGCAAGGCAAGACAACAGAGCTATGTAAAAGAAAATGTTGAAAACATTGTTGTTATAGAGCAGGACAGCAGAAAAAACACAAAAACGCAAACGGAAAAAAATTTACTGCGGGTTTTGCTGAAAAAACTAAAAGAAATTAAAACCAAATGAAACACAAAAATGTTTACGAAGTGAAACTTACTTTGATCAAAACAGCACAAGTTTAATGCAGGTTTTGCAGGCAATGCGCTGAATATAACATATATTATCAAAACAAGAAATTAATTAAATAGTAACGAATTGACTTGTGATTTCTGTTTTTATAATAAGCCACTTGTTTTCCGTAATTCATAAAAAACAAACGCTCTCAGCGTAAAAATAAAATAAAATGGAGGCTTGTGCACAAGTCAGCCCAAAATCCGAGCAAAGAAGAATTTACGAAAAGGAAAAAATCGGAACAAGTGAGAAGAAAGTAATGCTATACCTCAAAATAAAACCTGCGCACGCCTTGCGATGAACGTAATTGATTTCTGCATTCGTTTGTTGTACAAATAACGTTCTTTTATATTCTCTTTATATCCAACCCCTAATAGTCCCCGCAGAGGAAGAAAGCCGGCGTCGGCGAACACCTTAACTCAGTTCGAGTGAAAAATTTCTATTAGATTTCCGTTTTAAGAGTCACCTCCCTCGATACGACTTTTGACTCGGAAGCACACTCGCATCGGAAACGCGCGACATGCAGGCCTAATAAATGTGGCAAACCTTGGACCCGCACACGCAGATATTGCCGAAGGGTGAATATATTTTATCCAATCTAATGGCACTTTCTTTTGCCGATTTAGCAAAACGCGATACACGTTTCACTGCATTCTGTATGCAATAAAGGCAGGTGTTGCCAAATGTTCCTGAATCAAATGCAGGATGCTGTTGATCCGTAAGAAGATAATTATTGCTGTATCCGAAAAAATACGAACGTTTCATTGAAAATCCCTTGTAACACTGGAGTTTAATTAATGATTTGATTGTTTTCATTTGACAGCGCAACGCATCGGACAAACGGACGATCGCAAACATTCGCCTGCGAATGCACACGAATGTGTTAACAACGCGGGTATGCTCCTGCTGGGAACTCTGTCAGCAGCAACACGATAGGCGAGCACGATGCGCTTTATTGATTCAATAAATTAAAACGGCATATTAACAAGTGACGAACAAAATGTTTAAAACATCATTGTTGCCATTTATAAAACACACAGAAAAACAATGTTTGCATATATGCTTTTAGTAAATTGTATCTTCAATTTAGAGAATAAAAAATAAATAAATAAAAGCTATAAACAAGCAGTAACTTGTCAAAGAAGAAGTGAAAAAATACGTCCAGAACGCGTTTGTTAAAGTACTTGTATTGTCGCTCGTCGTCGCGGGACGAATACCAAAAAAACTCAATAAATTTTATCAATTTGAGAAGTAGGCGCCGTTCTCAGAATAGAATTGGATTCACTAACTCCATCCGAAGATGGTGGTGGGCACCTCGTCTTCACATACTCGCATGTTGTTGAAGTGTTGTCGAAAAGTTCTTTTATATAGGGGATGAAGCCGGGCGCAACGAGCGCCTCGTCTCAGAAAGCAAAGCAAAAAAAAAACCGTCATATAAAAGCAGGCCAGAAGCCCAGAAGTCTGCTAAAGAAGTAGGACGCAACAAGGTGCGTAATATACAAAACTACACTTCAAAATTCTACCCAAAAAAGCGTTACTTTTTATTGCCACCGGCATATTGTAATATTATTTCAACCAAAACGAGGAGAGGACAATTATAGAAAATACAACCAGCAGCAAGTAAGAAATAATGGGAAGAAAATAACGAACAGAGGACTCTAGGGAGCAATTATGCGCGCTATGCTGGTTTGAAGAAATCGTGTTTTCGATTTTCGAGCCGTATGATAAAGCGCACATTGATAACATCATAATGTTGGCTTGGAGGGTAAAGATCGCGTGAAAAATGCGATAGAATCAAGTGTGTTAACAAATATTTTGGACCTTTTAATAGCACCAGCGTCTGCACGGAAGAACAATAGAAGCACATATCCCATGAGTAGAATTAAATTAAATTGCGTTCGGTTAATATTTCGGCCAAGTTATACCAGAGTTCTAAAGATTCCACACCGCGTAACTCAAACATCCCAGCGATGCTATCGGGATTTATCCTAGAGATGGCTGTGGCTAATAACGTCACATTAAATATGATTTATGCATCGCATTGAATTTGCTCACGTTGGGAAAACAAGCGGTTTAGATAAACACGCAGGTATAATATTTTTAATATACTGAAACAATGCATCATTTTTTTTTGAATTCTGCTTAAAAACAAAGTTACTACAATAGAATTTTTGTTATTTATAGATTATAATATATTACCTATTAATAGTGTCAACAACATAAGGGGTAGTAGACAAGTGAGACTGCGTCGCGCCCGTCGACCATCCATTTTCCATATAAAAAATCCCCACACACGCTTTTGATTAATCAACGACATCTTAATTAATCCAACGTGTTACATAATTCCGGCAACGCGGTTCCTGCGGAATCGTCCATATATATCTAGATATAGGTATATAGTCCTCTCTACAACTCAGCGTCCGCCCTCGATTCAACAACCACTCAATTAAAATCCACTTTTCACTTGTTCAATAACGCGAACATCAATCAGGACGAGTCGAATTTGTCCACCAAAAATTATTTCAAACCATCAACATTCAAGTTTAATTTTTGCACCACACCGATATAAGATCACAGTTATACGACAATATTAGTTACGTGAAGTGATAATTACAAATACACTACGCTATTAATTTTCTTAGCTCATTTAATTCACTGTTTTGTTATTAATAACTTGCAAATCTATTTAATTTATGTGACGCATTACTTTTTTCCTAGATATTTGCTTGCTTACATAAATTATTGTTATAATATTACATTTAATGAATACGGTGTTTTTCGTTTTTAATTATGTTTACGTGATTAGAGTGCGGTTGTTTACTTTATCGGTTTTACTGTTTGCTGATGATGATTATGGTGGTTTTTTTTCTTTCTTGGGTTTAATAACGAATAAACTGCTGCGTATGCTTAATCGATGCAGTTAGATTCCGGCGGGGGCGGGCGCGCGCGAACCGAAAAACTTAGTCGGCGTCGCGTTGTTGAATCGACGCGACGCGAATATCGGGCGGCGAACACGAGAGCGCGAGTTTTTCCGTGGCGCAGGAACCATGCCGTTATGTAAGCGTCGCGACGACGTTCAGACAGCGAGTGGCGTCCGGCGCCGGGCTAAGGATAAGCGCGGGCTCACGGCGCACGCGCCGCCATTTTCGGTACACACGCATGCACGGCCAGGAGCAGGAGCAGGAGCAGGAGCAAGAACTGCATCGAAGGATAGAATCCGTCCAAACACGGTCCACGCAATTCCTAGGCGTATAAACCATATATAAATATTTATTTGTTTGTTGTGGATTATAATGTATTATAATTTTTTGGGGTAAAGGATCTCCGTAATTTATTCATTCCGAGTATTTCAGTTGTTGTTTTGGTGGCTTAGTTTACTGAAATATGATATAAGGGAACGTCTAATGTTCAATATTGTGATTCACGCTCATGTGCTTGATAATGCCAGTACCAAATTTGCGTAGAATTCAATATTGCTATCAGTCTGTCGAGGATGAACAACAGACATTATGCTCACCGACGTCCGGCGCGTAATAACAAGTATTACTTTGCATATTGAGTTTGAGACATCATCTAACCGGAGTCCATATGTTACAGCTACAACCCGGTTCCGGTTCCGGATTTGGTTGGGTGCACAATTTGGGATGCACATGCACACGTGATTTGATTCTGTGTTAATTTCTATAATCGTGTTCACGGTCGTGTGTCGTTACCCTGTTTGAGGGGTTGTAATAATACCATTAGCCATTTTCGACCGGTGTTGACGTCGATTTGCACCTCCCTAAACTTTTCGGGTTTAGTGTCTTCAAACTCTCAAAAACCGCATATTTTGGAGCAGTTGCAGAGGCAAACTGCTACGTAAACAGTACGATTAAGGTTCTTTGCTCAATTGATAACAATTTTAAACTCGTTAAAGTGCAGCATATCGATTAATCTTATTCGCGGCAGTCGCGCACCCTGTCGCGCTCTATTAATTATTTTACTTTTCAAGCACTCGACTTCATCACGTCGGGTTCATTTAACGTAAATAAGAAAATTTAAGCACCACTATTCAGCGTCGCAGTTTCATTATGAATGGAATCGTTTTATGCTTGTGGAGATCTTAATAAGTTGTCATAATTTAAAATACTATTATTTAAAAGAAAGCGTTGAATTGTGTCGAGTATCGTGAAATTTAAAATTTTATTTTTTTAAATGATTTTATGATAAAATAGTATATTAAGTATCAAGTGGCTAAACGGGAACCTTACTCACAAATTTGATTGAGAGCGAGCGTAGCGAGCGTTTAAGCAATCAAATGTTTAACAACGTTTGGACACATGATGCTTATGCTAATTTTTCAACTTCCACTCTAGTTCCACGTTGAGGTTTTTGTATTTCAACTATTGTTGTTTAAATTTGAAATATTTATTTATAATTTGTCGTGAATATTGGATTTACAATTTTTTTAAAATTTATGAAGATGCCCTCTGAGCGAAACATGTCAACTCTAAATACAAATTGTAAATCCAATATTCACGAAAAATTATAAATAAATATTTCAAATATAAAAATGGATTATGTATTCGCCAAAGAAAGTAATAAATATATTGTTGTTTAAATCATCGAAATTGTCTAGGACATTACTACAAAATGTAAGGTTATAGATACCATACTGCGCTCCGGGCCATGAAACTTTGACGTGTTTGACTGACGTCGCATGGCATTTCATACGGTCTTGTGCTGCTCTGTAGACAAATGCGCAGACGCAAGCACTGTACCGAAGATAATTTCCGTAGATAATGGATATTATTCACGGCATGGCCGTCCGTAAATAAAGTATCACTTTTGGTGTCTAAAACAGTCTAAAAACTGTGGAAAAACTGGTGCTTTATAAGCGGAGATAGAAAAATATTTTATTACTAGTTTTTAAATTAATAATATTATTGAATTTTTCTAGTTGAGACAAAATACTGTACTATTATTGTTGGACGTGTTTTTAAAAAGCGACTTATGCCTTTGTTTATTAGAAGATCAATGGAATTGAAAAACATGAAAGAGTAACTTTTTGAAATGACAAAGACTTAAGTGAATTTATCTTTGAAATACGATGCGGGCCATCAAGGGTTGCGGCGCGTGCTTGTTGCGGAAGCGCTTTCGATACCGTCGAACTTTTCGAAGCTTTAATATTTAATAACGGCGCACAAAGAGACGTAACGCTGATGATAATAATAACTAGCAAGTAGCGTCCCCAATCTTTGCCTTCAGACTTCAGCCTGCTCTGCGGTCGAAGCTAAGTTACCGATGGCACGATGTCGACATAAGGTGGTTCCGTTACGCGTCACTCGACATGTGTCAATATTGAATAATTTAGCATTATTTACATGTAATCGTAGGTGTATGGGGGCAACGTATCGTGGGCTCGCGCGCGTAAATCCGTGTAAATACACGAAACTCTCTTTACGAATCGCGTTAAAACGTCATATCGTCTAATATGCTTTCAGGACGCACAAGCATGAAATCGTTTTCGCGTAGAGCGTGCTTAGAAAGTCCCATTAACAGCCGCAGTCGCAAAAGCTTGTACGTTTCGTGTGTGGGGGTGTGTGTGGTTGTGCGCGGGTGTATGCGAGTGTATAATCAGCGCACAAGTGAACAAGTCGTTGTCGTGTTGACTTACTCCTCGAGTTGTGGCGGCTAGTCAATAAGAAATTAGCAAGATTTGTTGTTTGAGCGCACGAACTTTCTCAATAAAAATGATTTATACTTCGTATGCGATAAAGTTTCCAATGGAAAATTATTATATTTTATTATAAGATTTAGAATTCCAGGCACGGTATTTTTGTCGAGCTAGTCTGGACTTGTAAATCTTCATTCGCACATGATTAGTGGGGCTGAAATTTGAATAGGAAAAAAACAGAATTCGCATCGGACAAATCAATAAAAAAATTGATCTGTATAATATATCTATAATATAAAAATGAATCGCAAAATCTGTTGGTAAGCGCATAACTCAACAAGGTCTAGACCAATTTGGCCAATTATTTTTTTAAATGTTTGTTAAATTCTAAAGATGGTTCTTACGGCAAGAAAAATTCGAATACTTGCAGGGAAATTCCCAAAGACCGCCTTTTTCTATAAGATAAAAGTTGACATTTAGATTCAATCATAGTTATAGTTTAGTAGAGGAATCCGAGATAGCGCGTTGAAGTGCATTATTAACAATTATTTATATAATTATTATTTTTTTAAATAAAATTGCGATAGAATTGACATAATAGAATAAAACCGAATTACATTTGTATTGAACACTATCGGGACAGAGTCGCGGGCAAAAATTAGTGTTTTATATAATTAATATACTTTTTATATACTATTTTTAAGAATAATTCTAAGTCATCTTTCCCATTTTTCCTTTTCCCATAACGCTTATTTTTATAACATAGCGTTACATTTTTTAATTTTTTAATTTAGCTATGTTGGCTACATTACAAAACAATTTTCTATATATTTCCTATTATGCACTTAATAGTGATAACGCTTCAAGAAACAATTTTAATATAGGAAACTCTCTACAATATTATTTTTACTAGGCGGAAAGCACAGTAACGCTAAATTTATTCAGGCATGTTATAGATGTGTGGCAAAAATATACTCATGAATAGTTTTACGAGGTATCTTCACATAATCGCATAAAACTTCAAAAAATGCTGCAAACTAAAGTTCTAGTAACAAGGATATAGCATTATTTTTGGTAACGATTTTGGCAACGGAATTAGCCTAAAGAAGGCATATCTTATATGAATTTATATTTTTGTTTGTTTCAGTTGACATACAAAAAGAATACCGTACATTATTGAATATTGATTGAACCTCAAATTTAATTAGTTTACAAAAGGAAACTCCTTGTTGTGAGAACATTGAGCTGAACGTTTTATCGTCGAGGGCCCATCAGCTGAAAATAATTGGTATTCAGTTGCTGATTGCCTTTGTGTAAAGTAAATATTGACACAATTATTATTGAATAAACTAAGCAAGCCGCCGGGGCACAAATTGGCAGCGCTTTTCACGATTGTAGACTGAAGCTAAAACCACCAAGAAAAACAAAATATTACATACCGTGAAAATATCCCCGTTGATTGGCTTGAAGTTGCATAAATACACGATCTGCATCTCATCGTCACGTTTGCGCCGTCGTTCTTCGGCGTCGCGTTTTATGTGATATTCGCTACCAACGACAACATCACCACCGTTGTCGCTGGTGAAGCGTTTTCGCTCCGTATAATATTAAAAGGGAAGATATAAAATGATTTATGGCCGTACCTTTCGAGCACATAATGGCTCACTTATCAGCCAATGTCCGCATTTTAGGAATACATTTGCAGGCAAGCGCGCGCGCCGTTGCGGAATTCCATTCGCACTAACACTACCAGGATAGAGGGAAAGCTCAGTGTTGGAAAGTGTGGTAACTCTCGCTCGACTCACTCGCCACTTCGGGACGAAGAACTTATTCGACGAAAACGAGGTGTTTCTATTGCCCCTTTCGACTTTCGCAGGTTGCAATAATGGCCGATGGTGTCGGGCGAATATTAGCCGACAAAGTGGACGGGCCAGGCCAAGTGAGCCGTTAACTTTCAAGCGCTACCGATTCATGTGTGACTTGGTTTTACGAAGTTTGATTCTATCAACATACAATAAATATTGTTTCCGCAATATTTTTAAACAAGTGTAAGTGCAACACATCTTTGCCATCATAAATGCAAAATAAGGTAATTGCAATGTAAAATTGAAGTATACTTGTACGTAGGACATCTATAATATAAAAATGAATCGAATGAATGAATGAATCTGTTGGTAAGCGCATAACTCAACAACGCCTAGACCAATTTTTTGAAATGTTCGTTAAAGTCCAAGGATGGTTTTTGCTGCGAGAAAAAATCGAATAATTGCCAGGAAAACCCTATAGACTGCCCTTTTCTATAGGATATAAGTTGGCATTAAGATTCAATCATGGTTATAGTTAAATAGTTGAATTCGAGATGGCGCGCTGAAGTGCATTATTAGCAATTCTTTATATAATTTTTTTTTTTAAATAAAA